GAGAAGAGAGAGAGAGAGAGAGAGTGGAGTCGTTTCTGCCCAGGTGGTTGCCTTCAGATTCTTGCACACCGACGGCCCCTACCGAGCGCACTGGGAAGCTTGGTCGACAGGGGGGCAGCCCATGTTTGCCCCCATGTACAACGAACTGATCGGGTACTCCGCTGCTTTGGTTTGCATGCAGAGGCTTGAGTCTCGGCACAGCGTGCTGAAACGTATGTTGTCATTTCGCTTGCGGCAGAATCCTGCTACCTTGAGTGCCTCCATTCGGCGGCGCCAGAATCGAGATTTGGAGCAGCCAAAGTTCCAGCAGAATTTAGTCGAGTATTTGTCGAGTATCGGAGAACTGTATCAGGGCCAGTGGTCCTGCAAGACACAATTGCTGGCCCAAGTGGGCAAAGAGAGCGCAATGGCAGAGCATGCTCCTTTGACAGATTTGCGACAGAAGAAGGAGGCCTTTGCTGAGAGTCTTGCTTTGCTTTGTCGGGGCGAGGCGCAAGCTGATGATCAGCTTGCCATTATGAGGGAACATGTCAAAGCCACTCTGTTTAAAGGCCAGTGCTACGCATTGCGTGGCATGCTGAAGCCATGCACCTGGACATATTTCCGAATGCTGAGTACCAACCCGGGTTCGATCATGACTTTGCAAAGAGCGTGCCATTTGGCGTCAGATGTTTCTCGTCTAGATTCCAGGTCATGTGTAGCAACGATTCCATGTCTTGTCTGCCTGTCTCAGTCTGTCAATCCTTGGCCCAGGCTTGGCAACAGTGCGTGGCAATCGAGGTCCTGACCGGGTCGGTCGAAGATGAGACCTCCGAGAGACCGGCAATCAAAGTCTATGTGACAGATCAGTCGGTGATGTCCGTGCCCATGTCCGAAATGTTCAAGCCAGAGTGTGACATGCAGTGTCTGCATACCTTTACAGAGGCACCGCTAGCCCGCTAGATACACAAAGTTTTAAGTTACATCGTTGACGGCATGTTGCTTGAGTGGCCTGTGTCCATCCCCGTCACAGGTTGTGTCTCGCTGCTGTTTCTGCAACAGCTTTCTCGACGAGATGTTGGGTGACATAGAGGATCAACGTGCCTTGCCAGACGAAGATACGCTGTCTGCGATCAAGGCAGTTGCGTCCGCTGCCATATCTGGAGGCTGCACCGTGCGTGAGGTTAGCACCAACGATGTTGCCCACGAGGCTGCCATCGAGTGGATGACGCAGCAAAGCATAGTGAATCAGAATGGTTTTCTGGATGATGCTTTCGTTACTGTTGCAACTCATTTGGCGAAGCCAATTGCGGCTGATGTCAGTGATTCACGATTCGCCATCTGCAAGTACTTGCTCCAAAACGGGTGGAAGCCGGCTGAAAGTGCAGGCGCAGCATCCCTTGCAACGAAGACGTTCAATGCAGCTGCACCTTTGGAATACTTCTTGCTGCTGCGGCATTACGATGGCTTATTGCTCAGATATGACGATACTTTCGGCTTTCGTCACACACAGCTGAAATCCTTTTACGATGCTTTGTTGGCCAGTTTCAAGAGAGAGAGAGCAGAGGAAGACGACGCTTTGCTTCTGTGTGGGGAAGTGCTTTCTTCGGCTTTCTGCATTCATGTACGGGGACAGGGTCGGTCAGGTCGGTCGCAGGCCAAAATTAAGGTATCTTCGGTTGGTGTTGTATAGGTGTCAGTGACGCAAGGATTTGGACTATGTTGCCTCCAACCAGAAGGCAGACTTCTACAAATCCTTGTCCGACTTCTTTGCAGGACTATTTTCTGCAAGTGAACTTGCCATCGCACTAGGTCATGAATTATGTCTCTGCATTGGTGTCGGGTAGGACGCAGCGCTGACGATCCACGTGCAGTGGCCGGCTTGCTTCATCCGAAGTCTCGAACCAGAGGGCCCAACAAACCCAAACCCAAGTCCTCCGCGACTGCTCCACCGCCGCCGGCACCAGCGCTCATTCAGGTGGCGATGCCACAGCAGATTCCTTCAGCGGTCCCAGGCCCAAGTGCAGAAGAGCCTCCAGACCCCGAGCCGGAAGAGCGCATGCGTGTCCTGTGCGAGCAGTTGCCCACGCTAACTGCAGCAGCACCTTCCGGCGGCGACGTACCAGATGCTGAAGATGAGCAGGAGCTGATGGGGGAGAGTGTGCAGGACGATCGGGGCCAGCGTGACCAGGAAGGGCAAGATGACTTCGCAGGTCAAAGCGCTACATACCAGCATGTGCACAAGAATCGAGACTTGTTCTGGGATGTTGAGCAGTTGAGCAGACCGGGTTCGGCTGAGCCAGAATATGCTAAGTTCTGATCTGGCACGGCACGGTACAGGGTTTAGGTCACTCATCTTCGTCTGAGGACAGAAAGCGTTGGACGTGTGCGCGGAGCTCGGGCGCTCCTACCATCGGATAGATCCTGGGACCCGAGTGGCTCGGCTGTGCGAGCTCCTGGACATACTTGCCGACATCTTCGCCTCCGGCAATGCAGACACGCCAGAGAAGCAGGTGAACAAGGCAGGTCACGTAGCACCGGTGGTCAGGGGTGTTTGAAAGACAGTCTTCGGGGTTGCGACGGTTCCGCAGCGTCCTGTAAGCTTTTCAAAATGCGAATGATGCGCAGGCCCTCGATATCATGGACCGGCGCGGCCGCCGATGCCAGAGACTTAATTGTAGTACTTAAGAACAATATAGATGCTTTCGCATACACAGATCCACGGCAGCTCCGTGAATAAACCTCTCGCGAGGCTGGGGCAAAAATGAGACATGGTCACGCAGGCGAACACTCCTGGATCTGGTCCTGGTAACGTACTACGAAACTTTCAAGCGCGAAATCTTTGCACCCGGCAGTGTTGATTAAGTGAATATCTGTTGCAACCAGCAACGGAAGACAACGACACCAGAGAATCTGGCCCGTTGCGACACCAACGCACGAGTTTCAGCCTAGTGGAATGTACCAGCGGTGGCCTGAAAAAATCAACCGGACCACTGACCATGTTGCCTTTTCGCTCGCACGTCATGCCACATAGTTGTCTTGCAAGTTTCCGCAGGCACGACTGTGTGAAGCCGAGCAGGCTCAGGGTGTAGTTCAGCGCTTAGCGTCAATGGGGTTAAGCGCTTAAGGTTGTCGGGTTTACATATATGCTGTGTAAGGCTGAGACTTCAGCTGTGTTTGTTTGATCTTTTTGGGGCTCTCGCACAGTCAGGGCAGATTTCTAGGATACTTTGAGCTTTTGAAGCCTCGGAGGGGTAATGAGACTCAAATGAAGCCGAGCAGGGTTTGGAGTTTGGGGTATTGTGTAAAGCTGGGCCTTCCGTCAGTTCTAGTTCCAGGGTCCCAAGGTGCTTTCGGACTCCGAGATAAGAAGCTACTTGGTGAGTTTTAAGCCGAGGATGTTTAGAGTTCAGGGTTTGGGGGCTATAAGGTACTGGGGTTGTGGGCTCAGCGTCTTCAAACCTTTAAAGTTTATTGTAAAATGCTGAGGTTTCAGTTTCTTGTCAGGCTTTTCAACCGCAGCTGGGTTACAGGCGTATATATGGTTCAAAAGTTTCCTTACACTTTCTAGGACTCTAGGAAGTGTAGCCAGGCATGTTCGAGTTAATAGTTGTGTCCATGAGTTGATGGAACCCGCGCCAGACATTCCGTTCATTTTCCAAAGCTTGGGATTCTAGGGCCGCCATGGAGGATGACAGCCTTTGCGTATCCTTTTTGGGGTTGACCAGGGTTGATGACGGTGCTGCTGCTGATGCAGTAGCAGATGACAGCCTTTGCGTATCCTGTTCGGGGTTGCCAGGGGCTGATGATGGCGCCGCAGTAGCCGCCGAAAACGGAAGCAGCGACGAGAGTCAGTTGATGTCATGTTTGCGTCCCAGGAAGTGCAGGAAAGTCGGTCCCTCACACGCATCGAGTAGCAGTGACGCTGGCTCTTCGACATGGTTGGAGCCTGTGTTCGTTTCTGGGCGACGGGTGGCTTGGAACGTGTTTGACTTGCGACCGGTCTTCAAATACATGGAACGATTTGTGGATGCTGCTTTGGAAATCAAAAAATCGGACAGAAAGCTGAATTGGAAGGCTTCTAGGCGCATGAACTTATCGGCAATGCTGCTTTCCGTATTGTTTCGAGCCGGATATGATAAAGGTAACCAGCAGTGTGCGCATAATCTAAGGATCTGCACGTGTTTTCAGAATTTTCTGGGTATCAGACAGCAGAACTTGCAGCGCAATCCGTTGTGCATCACCTCGGCGAGCCCGTCGGCAAAACCTACACTTCTGCTGACAAAAGCAAGTCCTGCGTGCAGATGATGCTTGAAAACGCAGACGGCAGTGCAAGGCTCAGGACTGCATCACATGTTTCGGTGGATCATTCAGTAGCTTACTATTATGTCCATTGGGAGTCCAGCGTGCTTTGTTCTCACATGCGACTAGGCTATGCAGACGAGTGTGTGTTCGGTGACATCATGGACATGGTGCCCCCAGAAGTTGCAGAAGCGATGCTCGGAGTCCCCCTGTGTATATCCATTACAAGTGGAGAGGTCCGTGCAGCTATAAAGGGCGACGTCCGACAAGCAGTTTCACGAGAAGGACGTTTGCTGCTTCCGATCGGCGAAGCCAAACGCGGCTTAGTTCTTCTTGGCTTAGTTGACGACTGTTTCGGAACGGCTGCTGAACGTTTTGATCGAGCTGTTGTTGCACTGCAGGCCGCCAACACAACAACTTCACATAAAACGCTTCTTCATTGCCTCACGAAAGTCCCGGCCAGGCACTACGCGACGATGGTTTGGCCACACGTCGCCTTTCCCTCCAGTTCAATCGGAGGTGGCTGCGAGCATGCGGTTGTTAGATTCGGGATTCCAGGGCATGGGTGCACGTTTGGGACTTACGGGTTTGGGGTGGGGTGTCGTCGCTTGGCTTCGCGGCAAGCTATGCAGGGTATATTCTTGTTTGGGTTTGCTGTTCAGGTTATTTCATTCTTCGGGGATTAGTCTCCCAGCCCCTGAACTTGTTCTGTTCGCCGTTACATACCCCAAAACTAGACCTGAACTTGTTCTGTTCGCCGTTACATACCCCAAAACTAGAGCCTTTGCGGCTTTGGGCGTTGGGTCTGCCTTGATTTAGGATTGGTATATGGTTGGAGGCTAGTCTTTTGGCAATATCCAATGGTGGCCTTGCTCTGAGAACCAAACTCAAGGCACAATCTCTCTCCTCCTGCTCCGATATTTCTATATACTCCCTTTCTCATTTCCCAATGTCCGTTTTGATCCACTCCAACATAAATAAAAAACTCCCCCGTATTCCCCGATTCCAAAATTATGGCTCAAGATCATTCGGCTCAAGCCCTAGAAAGGGCTCCCTCCCGCTGAAGCCAGCCTTCCAGGCTCAATCCTCATAAATTTTTTCCAAGGGCACGCCATATTTGCTCCTCCCGCTCCGATATTTTTCTATATTCTCCCTTTCTCATTTCCCAATGTCCGTTTTGATCCACTCCAACATAAATAAAAAACTCCCCCGTATTCCCCGATAGCAAAAGTATGGCTCAAGATCATTCGGCTCAAGCCCTAGAAAGGGCTCCCTCCCGCTGAACGCAGCACCAGCAGACAGGGGAGGGTCTGGGGTGGGGCTCCCCTGCCCTTTCTCCCCCCACCCCACCCCACCCCACCCTGCCCCCACCACCCCAAGTGCCCTCCAAGCCTTTTGGCGTGACATGTGGGCTGCGGGGCGGTGGTGGCACAAGTGGTGGCGCAAGTGGGGTTTGGCGCAAGTGGTGGCGCGGAAAAGTTTTGGTGCACAACTTTTTGGGTGCAAAGCGACGTTGTGGATGCACCGCCCGGGTTTGGCGCAAGTGGTGGCGCAAGTTGGGTTTGGCGCAAGTTTGGCGCAGGTTGGGTTTGGCGCAAGTGGGTTTTGGTGGCGCAGGTTTGGCGCAAGTTGGTTTGGCGCAAGTTTGGCGCAAGTTCCTTTTAAATAAGAGCCGGAACTTGCGCCAAACCTGCGCCACCAAACCAACTTGCACCAAACTTGCGCCAAACCCAACTTGCGCCAAACCTGCGCCACCACTTGCGCCAAACCCGGGTGGTGCATCCACAACGTCGCTTTGCACCCAAAAAGTTGTGCACCAAAACTTTTCCGCGC